TATTGGACGCCGTTTTCGGCGCAGAAAAGCGATAACCGCCCCTCCGCCCGCCACTCAAAAGATCTCATCTTCCCCCATAGACCAGTCAAAGTGGGGTCAAGTCTCTACTTTTTTGCGACAAACCTTCGAAAAGCATCAGTTTCGATCATCGATAATAAACGACATATCCGACACGTACCGGAAAGCCCGTGCCACCGAGAAAAAGAAACAGGCGATCCAAAAAATAAAAATGATGTCCATGACAAGGAGAATGATGGACAATGTCGTGCCCATAGACGAATCCTCGCCCATATGGGCCGACTTTGCTCCTTCAGCCGAGGCTATGATGGAGCTCGTCACAAACCCGTCCACACTCTCAACGGACAGATGGATCGAAAAGGGGGTGTTGAAGAGGTGGACTCGCGACTCGGTGGTAATACCGGATTACCAAAAGTTCTACACACGCTTGTGCCGCATGTCGAAGGTCCGATACCGAGAAGTGTATCGGCAGTATATTCAGAAATATGGACCAGACATGGCATTTGCCGTCGTCCACGCCACTTCTTGGGGAGAAGGGGAGGCGGCTCTAGACGAGATGAACTGGGTGCTACAGGGTACAGGTTTCCCAACCTTGGATATACCTCTTGCCACCGTGGCAATCCACCCCGACTCTGACCACGTGGTCATTATCTACAATGGGACAACTTCGAACTCGCCTTGGTCAAGGCTGGACCAAGACTCCAAAAGTGACAACACTTCGCGAGCCATCAACTGACGCTCGAAGACGAATGGGAATCTGTGGAGTGGCTCTCGTTAAGAGCTCCAATCGCCTCGCTACTTGCTTTTCGAACAGACAAGCATGTTGGGGATAAGGAAGCGGTGTTAACGGAGTTATTTCCTTTGGCCCTCAACAGCGCAGAAGGGGGTTGGGTTTCTGAACCTATCATTGACGAAGATGTGGCTCAGGCGGTCATCAAAGCTAAAACACAGATCTCGGACGATATTCAATTAGACGATCCAGCTGGCCTCAAGAGTATCCTAGAAGAAATGATTTCACGGGAGGAAGAGCTCTTTCGGGAGGTCCACGACGAAGTGAGGAAGACCCACGACGATCGCGTGTTAGGGCGAGTGATATCACGACAGGGTGTGGAGTTTGTACGACACGAACTCACAACCCATCTCCGCATCGTCAACGGCACGGCGACATCGCTAATGGTCTTAAAGGACCTTCCCCGTGCCGCGCAACGAGGCGTCCTTGGGACATCCATAGAAGCGCCTGAGATTGGACGGGGGATGGCGTCATATCGTCGACACTGGGAGGCGCTGTCAGCGCTGATTGAAAAAGGGATGGACTATCAAATGCTTCGTCACAAACAAGGCCCTTTACTAGACTTTTGGAAGTTTATTGAAAAACACACGCTGAAGGGACTTTTAATCCCAATACTTTATCTCTATTTGAAGACAATCAGTCCGAATATGATTCTCGGCCACAGCTCCACCATCTCCCAAATCTTTCAATCTGGATCCCTTGTTTGGACTCCAAGAGATCTGGGCATTGAATCAATGACCGGTCCAGAAGGCCTCAACCATCTCCACGGCGGTATAGTTCAGGATCCATGCGTGAGCGAAGCGCAAAGACCTGCGCTAGATAAGGGGTTAAAGGATCGTCTGGGGACATTTCGCATAATAAGATATGGACCAGGAGCGATGGATTGCGCCAATCTCCTCATCAATCACGATGCCGGTGCTGGCTTTTACCGGCAGTACCTACCGAAGGATTATTCACGCCTAACCACTTTATTAAAAGCAAAACACATGGTCTGTCAAGGCGTGACAGAGGATTATACCGGGAAATATCCCAAACCAAACGAGTTGCAAGAGAAGGTGGCCTTACTGAAAAAAATACGCCACAGAGTAGAAGAAATCGTAGCCCAATCGGGGTTGGGGGGCCTTTTGGCGACAGAAATCTCCCGGCACTACGAAGAGGAGATGGCCTTTGATACACTCTCACGGCTCACTAGTGATGGAGGTGAGTCTCACAGCCTTTGATGAGCAATGTTGCTGATTGTGAAAAGATGACAAATCGACTAACGACGACACTGAGGATGAGGAGAGTCGTACCACAAGGGGGAACAAGGTGGTAGGAATAGAGGCGAGGCGATATCACGGACCTCGTGCGAAAGGTCTGCCTCGATCCGCAGAGAGGAAAACGCAGCTCTTGCAGCTCCAAGAAGACGAAGAAGTGGCCAAAATGATGGAAATAGACCAACCACTGCTGTGGAGAGGACTGCGCCCTAGTGATCCCGAGTTTGAGACGAGATTTATGATGGTGAAGGAAGGGTTCTCTATCCTTCGGTCATCAAACGGCTTTGGGAGAACTGAAAAGGGGATCCAAACAAGGGAAGATGAGGGAAAAAAGATTGCTCAATGGAACAAGGATAAGGCCGTGGTCGATAGGGAGAACGAAGCGGCAGAGTTTGGGGGCAGCTGGACTGCCGCCGAACAATACAAGATGTTGACTCTTGTTGTACCCCTCATCCAGAGAGACCAGACTCGGGTCGCGTTCGAGAATTCGCCCCGAATGGGCATGCAAGACTTGTGGCGCCCTAGCTATAGGAAAAGACCGTAACTCGAAACACTGGTGCGATCCATACTCTAAAGCGACTCCCATATCGAGGACTTTTTTTCCAAGAATACGAATGGATCATCCACCTGGGTGACGCGCTGAATCATTCTGGCCTCTCGGGACTCGCAAAAGACAGAATCATGCGAGAATTCGACCTGCAGGCCGTCATGGTTTCCGCCATTTGGACGACAACCCCGATGTACCTTTTTCTTTTGACCATGATAGAGTACAGGGCACGATTTACTGCAACCGGGTCCAAAGGAACAGGCAACTCGAGCGATTGATGGCATGGGACGCCATTTTGAAGGTCCAATGCGTTGGGATTGACCCATTGGACGCGGCTATCAACCATGGCTACGCCCCTGAGGTCGATGCCAGGTCCAAATACGAGGACGGAAAGACTCAATACTGGCCTGAACAGTTTATTGCCCAGGGATGCCTAAAGTCGCTCAAATCACGAAACGTCCAAACTCTGACCTGTCTCCGTTGTGGGACCTTCAAAATGAACACGGTCCTTTACGATGTAGAAGAACTCAAAAAGCACTTGCCCTGTAACAGAAATGTTACCGGAAAGAAAGAGTCTCGATGCCGGACATTGGGGGAAGATGAGATCTTTTGAGTGGCGGGCGGAGGGGCGGTTATCGCTTTTCTGCGCCGAAAACGGCGTCCAATA